TTTTTTTTTTAAATTGCTACAGTAGTTTCATAGGGTCTATTTGCACAGTCTAGATATTTCTGTTAGGAGGAAAAAGAATATTATGTTTAATTTCTAGGCTATGAGTTTAGATTATTTTCTGGGTTTTTTTGAAACAGGGTCTCACTTGATAGTTCAGGCTGGTCTCAAGCACAGAAGGATCCTCCTGCCCCAGCCTCCCAAGCCTTGCAATTATAGGAGTGTGTCACCACACCTGGCTATACGTTCAGATTTCAGCACTGACCTTTAAAGCATGTGCCTGAGCAGTTTGCTCTTTCTGGGCCTCTGATTTCTCATTGGGCACTGCAGATTGTTCTGTTAACCATGCTGTAGAGCCACTGCAGGAATTTCATAGGTTAGCAGTGTAGGACGCTTGTGGGAAAGCCTCACACTTGGCATTGACCATGGGAAGTACTTGATAAATGATAGTCACATGAGCAAACATCAATAAACTAAGGGTATGTGTAGTTGTAAGTTTTACTTCTTTCAAGAGAAATCTGTTCATTAGATTTGTTATCTATTCAGAGCTATTCTATTATCTATTCAGAGCTAAAAGTTAAAAGAATTGACTACTGACTTATGTCCATCTTTTTTAGTTTAATTTAGTGCCGGACATAAAATTTAAAATTCGGTTTGCATTAAGAGTCATGGAACCTGATTACCAAGACCAATTGCCAAAGCCTGTTACTTAACTTTGGGTAGAATGTGTCAGTATTTCCTAAGTGATGATGTCCCAACTTTCCTTTATCACCTTCCAGATTTGGCTCACCGCTAGGTACCAAGGCCTCAAGTCTGGCACCTTCTTTTGGCCGGGATCAGATGTGGAAATTGGTGGTAATCTGCCAGACATCTACCATGTGTATAACAGGTAGGCACAGATGTGCACTGTCTAGGACCCGAGGTGCAGACTCTTATCCCTTGCCATTTATTGTTCTTGGGTCTTAAGCTCTAGCATTGAGGGATGTGTTTACTGAGACAGGAAGCAGAATCGGAATCTCAGCTTGGAGCTGGACAGGAAACAGTAAAGCCAGGCACGCACTTTCTAGAAGCACCAGCGACTCTTTGTATTCAGATCTCTGGGCAGCAGTAAAAGAGGAGGAAGGGACGGTGGCAGTAGGAGTCTGGGAGTGGAAGCATTGTGTGTTTTAACTCAGGAGAAAGCGATTTCCAAGGGAAGGGTGAATGTGTCCCAGAGGATTTGGCTGGGGACGTTATTCAGAAGGAGGGAGATCCTCATGGCTGTCCTGAGTCTCCACCTCCAAACCACTGTGGTGACTGTGCTTTCAGTATAAAGAAACTTGCTCCTGATCTCCCTTTGATCTGATACAATGAGAAAAGACAATGATTTTTTTTTTTTTTTTTTTTTAAAGGAAAGACTTCCATTGGCTGATCTGGTAGAGCGACTACAAACTAATTCTATTTGTTTTACACTTTTTGAAATTTCTGTTGCAAAATCAATGCAGTATATTTGGGATGCAGAGACTGCAGACAGAAAACCACCCCAAATCCCAGGCAAGAAGTGCATAGCAGTTTCACGGGGAGCCTCGGGCCGCTGAACTCCTCTGTGTCCACCCTGCTCCCCAGCCCAGGGTGGCATCTTCTCCTGCACTTTATCATTCGCTGCTGTTTGCAGCCCAGAGAGGAAATGGAGATGGTAAATGAGATTGGACCGGCCAGGCCCTAACTAGATCAGAGGATTCAATGATGATGATGTGCCGGGCCTGGCATTCTGAGGTCCAGTGGAGGCCATGACTGCTGTCCTTGAGCTCGAGCAGGCATCCTGGTGGAGCTGTATAAACAAAACCCCGTTCCCCAGGGAGGCGTAATTAATTTTGCCAAAGAACTGTTGCCTGGAGAAACGTTGCCTGGTTGTGGTCTGGTGCCGGCTTCCCAGCAGCACGCCCTCCAGAGTGTGCTTCCCGAGAGTGGGCGTTTGACACAAGCTTGTGCACGGAGAATGTCCTCTCGTGAAAGAAGCCAATTTTTAAGCCCATTCTCAACCTTTGTGTATATAAAAGTTTAATTTTGCTTCTTTCCTGGAAAAACAAACTTAGTTTTCAAATAAAACTCATGTAGCTTCAAACACAGTGGGTGCCTGGGTTGCTTTAGTGTTGCTTAATGCTATTTTCAAAAAGAAAACATTTATATTTTAAATCCAAACAATTGTCACAGACTTGTTTCGTTTTATGTATCCTTCATTTTAGCTCCATACCGTTTGAAAAAAGGATCTTAGCTGTTCTTGACTGGCTACAGCTTCCACCAGGGGAAAGGTATGTAAATGATTAATTTCTGTTGAAAGTACTCCTTGGTTTTATAAAACTTATGTACTTCTTAAAAATAGACTACAATAAAATACTGCCACCTCCTATCATGATGTTTTGTATCTAAATAAAGTCTTTAGTGAGCTACCCTAGCCATATTTGAAAGAATTCTAAACCTATAAATTATTTATCAGCAAATTTAGAAATGTTACGCCAATGTTGTAGAATTTTTAAGCACTATCAATTGTTGAATTATTCTTGCTACTCTGTTTTTCAATGTGTTCGTAAAATATTACATTTTGATACTGTTTGATTTAGACCACACTTTTACACTCTGTATTTAGAAGAACCAGATTCTTCAGGTCATTCCTTCGGACCAGTCAGCAGCGAGGTAAGTGCTCTTTCGCCTACCGCGCCTTTGTTGACCCTACTGTCTTCTCGCCTGCATGTGCTCTGAAGCAGGCTTCTGGGCCATTCTGTAAGATAATTTCTGGAGGGAGGGAGTTACTAGGCATCATTTTATTAAACCGGAGGGCGCACTTTAAGCAAAATGAAGAGTTGGGAGAATGGTTTTTGCTCGTATTTTCTACAGTGCTCCAGTGAACTGACGAATTAAATTCTGTATATTCAATTCCAGATTTTTTCCACTCCGTGTCTTTCTTTAGCCTAAAAACTAAAAGGCTTCATGAGCATTTCATAAGAGGTTAAATGAGATGTGTGGTGTACCCACACCAGTTTCCCCAGTAAATCTAATCGTTGTGTACTATAGAGTTTCTAAAATACAAAAGCTCCAGATTTCCATGAAGATGCAGTTTAATGAATCAAGTAGCAGAAGATTTAGCTAAATTCAGCTCATTAGGAAATGGGTCTCTAGATTCGTGAGCCTGCGCTACATTGAAAGATGGGAGGCTTTCGCAGAATTACAGATGCATCTGACAGGGGCACACACCTATAATCCCATACTCTGGGGAGCTGAGGGAGGAGGATTGCAAGTTTGAACTCAGCCTGGCCTACTTAGTGAGTTGGTGAGACTCTGTCTCAGGGAAAAAAAAAAAAAAAATGCAAATAAGCCTTTTTTATTGAATGATTATTAGGGAACTCCAGGAACCGGCTCATGGACTGACTCTTCATAGGTTAACTTATTTGATCTGGCACCTTTAGCCAGCTCCCACCTGTGTGTGCCACTGAATTTGGGCTTTAAAACACTGCTGCTTTCTGTATTCTTGTGGCCGAAGCCCTTCGGTATCTTGTGGCTCAGGAAATGGGAGTGACAATGGCTCAAGCTTCTTTCCTAGTGCATCTAAATCATCTAAGTCGCTTTCCTTCTGCACCATTTTACCTGTGACCTAAGATAGGAAAAGCAATAAAAAGCAAGCACCTGTGACTACTGCTGTCATGCAGAGGGTGAGGGGGCACTGCCCAGCCCCGCCTGTCACAGGCCCGGGTCTGATTGTCTTTTGCTTCCTGAGGCCCAGATAAGAGGTGGTGGCCCCATGTTTTCCTTCAGCCCCAGTTCACACTGGCTCCTGCCCATTGGCCTGGATGGGGTAGTTTGTGAGCCTCATGGATTCTTCTGCCTCAGGCCTCTGAGGCCTAGCCTGGCGCATCTGTGGGGAGCCCCATTTGCAGGAAGCTACTGGTCGATCTAAATGCTTTCTTTGGTAACAGTGGATGGGGGGGGGGAGCACAAGCGCCCTCACTCTCAGGAGCCCTGAACAGAGGACGGTCACCTACCCTTCTGCCTTCACTCTGGCCCTAGTCTGCCCTTGACACACCCCTTGTACAGAGTGGGCACTGCTTGGACTGCTTTACCTCATTTACAGGAGAACAAAGAGTGAAGGACGCTGAGGCTTACCCTGGTCAGGCACTATCCTTTGTCTTGTTGCTGCCAAAACCCAACTCCAGAGGCTCTGGAGTGTGACCAAGCTGGTAAGCCCTGCTGGCGCTGGCCTCCACCTGAGCGCAGGCTCCTCCCAGGGGTGGGGCAAGGAAGACGAGTGCCCCCTCTCTGCCCACACCTCACTATGTCTTGGGCCGGGTTTTTTTCTAGCTGATATCTTTTTTAAAATTTTAATTTATATTAGTGCCTCAGTGTGGCATGTGAGGGCTCCGCGTGCTGGGGCAGGTGGTGCATGGCCGTCACACATCTCAGCCCCATTCAGCCCCTTGTCTCCAGCTCTCTCCCGCTCCTTCCAGGTCTCAGCCTCCTTCCCCTTGTGAAGAGCGATCTCTGTTTCCTTTCATCTGTCTTTTATTCTGATCTTGCATCTATTCTTTGGGTTTCTCATGTAAGAGAGAGCACGCTGGCGGTCAGCTGTGTGTCTAATTTGTTTTACTTAGCGTTATGATCATTTATCTCACTTGACCTTAGGTCAGAATGTCTGAGGGTCCATGCATCTTTCTAAATGTAGCTGCCCTCCTGATTTGAACAATTGACCCATTGGCAGCTGGTGTGACTTTTACTCTTTTACCACATCACTGGCAGGAAAACCCACCTTGAGGTCAACTCGGTCCAGAGAAGTCCAGGCGCCATCTTGCAGTGATTTCAGTGATGTCACTTCACCAGCCGTGCTGTTGTTTCCGGCTCAGGAGTGATTCTCCAGTGTACTTGCTTTTCTGTTGTCTTCATTCATGGTTGAGCCCATTCCTTGCAAAGCATACAAGCGTTGTGTATGAACCATTGAATGCTAATGTTGCTGGGACCTCAGAACTCACTCTACATAGGAATTTTGATCCGTGTTGTTTGGTAACTTCGAAGGAACAAAGGACTGTGCTTTTTTTTAAATAAAAAAAATTCTTTTATTGATTTATATATTTGCTACAGGCTCTCCCTGTGCAGCTCAGACTCACAGTGATCCTCCTGTCTCGACCTCCCCAGGGCTGAGATCACAGGTGTGCGTCACTATGCTAGGTCTCGGTGGCTCTCCGGGGCCAGCACAGTATATGGTACCAGGGATCAGATTCAGGCCCTTGTGCTTGCCAGGCAGGTGCTTAGACTGCAGAGTTATCTCTCTAGCCTGAGATCATATTTTTTTCTTTTTGTTTATGTACTGAGAATCAAACTCAGCACCTAGCATTTGCCCACCAGGCCCTGTGTTGCTGAGTTATACCCATGGCCCAAAACCATTTTGAAAGAATCTGTCTCATATTAAAGTGACGTGTACTGACCACAAGTGAAGATGAAATTGATTTGATTTATTACAGAAGGCCTGCAAAACTGCGCACGAGCTCTCCTCAGGGGGGCTCAGCCTGGAGAGGGGAAGGAAGATGTTGGGCTGAGCTCCTTCACTGTTCTGTGCCCTTGAGATACTCATGTGCAGAATAGACACAGTTGCAAGGAAGTAAGGGCTTTTATCCAAAGAGTTGTAAATGTGAAAGTTAAGTGCAGAGAATTATACAAAGCGCTTCATGAGCAATCTTCATCAAACCCAGGGCACAGCATGTGGAGGCACACGCTCCACCACTGAGCCTACACCCCTGGCTCAAGAGCGATTTTCACATTTTTGAGAATCTGGTATCATATTTATGCAATGATGATTTAAATAATTGACAAATTCAAGAATAGATTGGTTGCAAAAAAAGTAGTAATGGCCCATTATTTTTCTTATATGGGAAACCCGAAGTATAAACAAAGGGCAAAATAAAAAATAGCTGAAGGAAGTAATTAATGATAAGTGTAAAGTAAATCAGACATTATGATCTCCGCCTGCATCCATTTCCTGCCGAAGGTGCAAGCGTATCCTTCTCTGTGGCAGAGGAGAGCTCTGTTTTGAGTAAACCCTCTGTTTTTTTTTTTTTGGCAGTACTGGGGATTGAACTCAGGACCTTGTGCTTGCCAGGCAGGCGCTTATGCCACTGAGCTGTCTCCCCAGCCCACTGTATTTTCTTTATCCAACCATCCGTGCATGGACAGTTGAGCTGCTGTGAGTTGTGCTGCTCTCAACAGGCATATGCATGTGTTTTTGTAACATCATTGTCTTGGACTCTTCTGGGAAGATGCCTAAAGGGTAACAGCTGGCTTGAGTGGACTTTCTTGCTTGAGTCTTTGGAGGCCTCTCCATAGTGATTTCCACAGTGGTTGTACTAGTTCACGTGCCCCACAACAATGTAGAGGAGTTCCCCACCTCCCTGGTCTCCAGCCCGTGCTGTTATGTCAATGACGGTGGCCCTTCTTTCTGGGGGAATCTCAGGGTTGTTTGAATGTGCATTTCTCTGATGGCCAGCGATGTGGCGCATGTCTTCACGTATTTTTAAATAGAGACGGCTTTACGCAGAAATAGCCAGTGGTGCAGAATTGGTCCCATGAGATTGCTTTCCGCCGCAGGTCATCAAAGCCCTGCAGCGGGTGGACAGCATGGTTGGCATGCTGATGGAGGGCCTTCGAGAGCTCAAGCTGGATAAGTGCCTGAACCTCATCCTGATTTCGGACCACGGTAACCCACGCTTGCCTGTTCATGCCCCAGATTAAGTCAGAGCAAAGTCCCTTGGTAGATTTTTTTCTCACGATTCCCCTCTGAATGCATAGATCATAGACTTTTAAAAAGTTTAATTCCTTCTGGAAAATCTTGTGGAAGAAATCACAGTAACTACAAGGCACAAGTGAGGCACAGAGTTCACGGACACCTAAGCCCTGGCCAGTGTACTGCAGCCATCTCCTGACGGGGGAAAAGCCACATGTGGATTTGAGTGGTTCAGAAATGATTTTTCAGTCTTAACTTTTGATCCCTCCACAGTTTTAAATTTGGCTATTATTACATGCCTTTTCAGTTTGATATAGTGTAATACGTATAGCTTTAGAGCCTGTATATTGATGTTGAGCGTATACCAAGCTTGACAGTATGTTACTTTATTTTTGTGCAGCACAGTCTTGGTGACACAGGTTTATGTCCAGCTGTGGGGCCAAAAAAGTGCTGTGCGTGATGCAGAGTAGAACATAGAAAAAGAAAAAAAAAGAAAGTAGGCTGTTTACTTATTTTTGCACTGGTGTTTTGTTGTTTGCTTCAGAAATAATTGCAGAAAGCTGTCTTTTAGAAAAAGTCCTACAGTGCTATGTGCTATAGAGGCACCAGGCCTTCAGCGAGTCTGACACCCATCATCCCGGCTGCAGTGTGAGCGCTTTTGGGCAAACAGCAAAATCTAGGTCTGGGAGATGACCTTCTTGCTGACCAAGATGAGGGATGAGGTTATCGTAGATAATAAGAAGAAACCTTAAACTGATTATGGTAGCAAAGGTTTATTAAAGGTAGGGGAAAGAAACAGGCTCTGCAGAGCGAGCTTTGACCAGGCAGTAGAAGGAAAAGAAGTTCGCCCGAGGGCGTGAGAACAGCCACTAGGCAGGAGGGAACAGGAGCCCAGGAAGGGAGGTTGAACACAGTGAAGTGGCGAACCTCGCGCCAGTTCCGGTCAGATCTATCAGGTACTCAGCTAAGGAACAGCTGTCCATGAGCAGCTGATACCAGCTGACATCAACCAGTAGATTCCACTCCTATGTTGAGTACATATGTAATTAATTAAATTCTAGAAGGGAAGGACATTCTGCTTCCCATTTTAAATTCTTTATAAAAGTTGCAACGTGCTTTGGGATTTCTGTCTCCTAGGCATGGAACAAGGCAGCTGTAAGAAGTATGTGTACCTGAATAAGTATTTGGGAGATGTTAAGAATATTAAAGTTGTCTACGGCCCTGCGGCTCGCCTGCGGCCCTCGGATGATCTCGACAAATACTATTCCTGTAAGTCTGACTCCGTGACAGCTGCCGGTGCACTTTGAGTAAGAACGGATTTCTCCAAGTCATTAGAAATGATAGGGAGTCAGTGTTTCATAATCTCTGGTACTTGGGGGAATTTTATGGGACTAAGTGTGAGGCCACAAATGTGACCCCTTACTTTTCTGTTATTTATTCATAATACAAGCATATTGTTTGGTGAACTTAACCCAATTTGCTGTGGCAATGTATGTTTTATTTGTAGTAGGTTCGAGATTGTAGTAGAACCACTGAAGGGAAAAATTCAACTTTATTCCAGTTTAGATAGTTAATGGCATTCATAAAACATCACGCGAGAGCAACATTGCTTTATGAGGAGGAATATATCTTTCAAAGGGGAAAGGACCACAAATTTTACCTTCTTTCTTGATACATTACCAAAAAAGAAAGATATTTTGCACATAAACTCATTTTGTAACTCTTTTTAGTATCTAATTTTTGAGTGCCATCCCTGAAAACTGATATTTAAGTCAATTTTAAAAAAAATCTAAGGGCTAGGGAGATAGCTCAGTAGAATAAGC